TGGAGATTGATTTTGGAATTTAGATGCACTGTTATTAATTGTGCTTAGCCATACATGTTCATATCCTTGAAGATGTATCATGGAGGTGTTGCAACCCAGAAGACACAAATTTAACTAACAAGTTAAAAGTACATGAGTCAACAATTAAAAAGCAATAATATTCCGAGTAGAGGTTTTAGTAGTGGCACAGATCAAGTTACAGAGGGAAGGTGGTTCTTACAATAAAAGGCCTATAGACTAGCACTTTGTCTATTATAGTGTACAGGTTAGGAACCACAAGATGTAGAGGCTCAGCTATGTCATTTATGCTTCTTAAATCCTGGAGCAAATTCCATCTACCACTAGGCTGTTTTACAACTTGGAAGTTCACCCTTTGTTCTAGCAGATCCGTACTGAAAATTCTATCTTCTATTTCACTGTTTCTGTGTTACATTTCTTCAACTCTGCTCATAAGTGCCTCCAACATGTTGATAGCATCTGAACATTGGTTCATATCCTAATATTCTGGATTTCAGTTTCCTGTTGTTTTTTTCTAGGGCCCTTAGTGCCTTGTTTGTTTTATCTGCATTGTCTTGGATTGTTTTTTAAAGTTCCTCTTGGCTTTTGATTGCAGAGTCCTGTAATTGTCATTTATCTTTTACCCATTTAAAACATTCAATCGTTTTTAATTCTGTGTCAGAAAGTTCCATCAGACTTTGGATTCAGGAAATCTATTGATTCTGTGTTTTAATCACTGTTTTTAGATGCTATATTGTTTTGGTTGTATAGGGTGTGATTTAGTCTGCTTCTTCTCTGTCATTGCTGTGGTAGAGCTTTTCATGCCTAGGGCCTTAGCAGACCCTTAGTCTGGTAACTTTGGCTAAGGAGTTCACTGCTCCAAAGGAGGGAAGTACAGCTCACCCTGTTTGAATTTCTCTCTGATCTTTTGACTCAGAAAAGGCTGGCTTCAGTTCCAGAGCTTCATACACTTGTACGGAAGGGATGGACAACTCACACTGTCTTAAGTTCTTCCTTTCTTGTTCCTGTGGCAAAATTAGCTGAGACTAGAGGGAAAACCACTTCTGATCCTTCCTCTCTAGTCATTCAGTTAAGTTCTCTGGTGTGAATGATTTGTTTTCTGGTTGCAGCCCTCTTTCCTGAAGTCTGTTGTCCTTGGTCTATGGAGTGTTGCAGCCAGATTTCTCAACTTTTTTTGCCACTCTGAAGGAAGTACTTTATCTCTGAACCTTCTGTCCAAGACCATATCCTGGTAGCTCCTGGTGGCTGGAAACATAAAGTTGGAATGTATGCTGGGAACAGCTAGGAGTCGCAAGAGACTCGACGGCACATAACAACAACAATATGTTGTTGTTGTTATGCACAGTCGAGTCACCTGTAACTCATATCAACCCTTTATCTCATTTAACATATTCTTATAATAATACGTGATATGTTGTTTGTTGTGTACCATATAGTTGGAACTCACCCATAGCTGACTCTTCGATGGTTTTTGGAGGCACTTACTCACACTGGAGGAGATTGCCCATCTTTCTCCCATGGAGTGGCTGATGGTCTTGAACCACAAATCTTTGTGATTGTAGCACAGCTTCTTGCTACTAGGTCACCAGACTATGTGATATAGGGGAACATATATCAATTATTTGGATTATATTCAATGTATACGTGTTATGAATGCTTAATTTGTCACCTAAGTGCAGGCTGTGTTTAGAAAAGTCCATGGTACTAGGGATATTATAGCAAATGTAAGATAAATCTTGGCTGAAAGCAGAGAGTACCAGAGGAATGTCTATCTGTGTTTCATTGACTATGCAAAGGCATTTGACTGTGTAGATCACAACAAACTGTGGCTGACTCAGAAGAATGGGAATCCCAGAACATTTTATTGTGCAAAACCTGTACTTGGACTAGGAGGCCATGGGCAGATCAGAGCAAGGAGACACTGCATAGTTCAAAATTGGGAAGGACATACACCACGGATGTATCCTATCTCCATGCTTTTTCAATCTATGTGAAGAACAGATCATCTGGGAGGCTGGGCTATATGAGGAGGAATGTGGCATCAGCATTTGGGGAAGACTCATCACCAACCTGCATTATACAAATGACAAAACCATGCTTCCTAAAACTGAGGAGGACCTGAAGTGTTTGCTGCAGAAGGTCAAGGACTGCAACCTTCAATATGAATTGAAGCTCAACATGAAAAAAACAAAAACAAAAAAACACAATAAAACCCCTCAGAAAACCAACAGAGTCCCACCACTGGGCTGATTGCCAGCATTATGATAGATGGTGAAGAGACTGAGATTGTTAACAGCTTTAGTTTACATGGCTCCATAATCAACACTCTTCGTACCAACAGCCAGGAAATCAAACAACGAATTGCGTTGGGAAAGTCAGCTATCAGGGACCTCTCCAGAGTACTGAGGAGTAATGACTTCAGTATGGAGACTAAGGTGTGCCTGATCCAGGCCATAGTCTTTGCAATTGCTTGCTATGCATCAGAGTGCTGAACAATGACGAGGGATGATAGACAGCTGATGCCTTTGAGCAGTGGTGCTGGAGAAGTACGTTGAATATACCACAGACTACCAGGAGAACAAACTGGTTTGTCCAATAGAGGGTAAAACCAGGCTGCTCCTTGGAGGCAAGGATTCTGAGTCTTCATCTGACATACTTTAGACATGTTGCAAGGAGGGATGTCATGCTTGGGAGGGTAGAGGGACAGAGAAAGAGAGGGAGACCATCAAAGAGATGGATTGATTCAGTAACTGGGGTAATTTAGGTAGATGTGTCAGAGACAGTAAAATTGGCAAAGTATAGAGCAGGTTTCAGGGCTCTTGTGCATAGGGCTCTTATGAGTCACAAGCAACTTGATGGCATATAACAACAACAAGAAGTTAGTATTTAGGGAAAATACTGCCAACACAATAATGTTCTCGTATGAATTCAAGGGCCATGAGTACTTTTCCAAACATTTTTTTTTTAGATCTTTTGTGTGTATGTCCAGAGTGCATTTCACTGACTGTACTGGAGGACACAAAGACTATACTCTCCTGCCATCCTGTACCACAGAACACTTTTCTTCTAGCAACATGGAAAATATTTTTCAGAGACAATACTTCGTGCACTAGAGCCTACAGGAACGATACAAATAAGACCATTGATACTAACTGTGCCGATGAGCGAATAACCTGGGCCTCCAGACCAGACCATAATCCAGACCTTCAGATTGATCCAGTGGCCATCACTCATGATGGGTGTTACACCTGTGAAATTGTATCAAGGAATGGGAATTTCCATCGTTACTATCACCTCCAAGTGACAGGTAAAGAACATTATCTATTGTGCTATTTCAGACAATGAGATTTGGAACAGGGTCAAATGTCTTTCTAAATTCTATGTTGTTTATGCTAAAATGGAAGTATTTGTTTTTCTCTTACATCTCTGCAGTACCCCCCAAGGAAAGCATATCTCTAATAGCAAATAGAACTGTGCTGTGCAAGGCTGTTGGAGGGAGGCCAGCTGCACAGATCTACTGGAGCCCAGAGGGGAACTGTTCCACTGAGCAACAAGACCAGGGTGATGGTGCAGTGTCTGTGCAGAGTGAGTGCAACTGGATGGGGCATGACGTATCCATTGTGACTTGCTTTGTCTCCCATTCGACTGGAAACAAGAGTCTATCCTTAAAACTACATCCAGGTAAGTTATTCTTGTTTCTCTTAGATTTTCCCATTATTTTAGAAATGTTATGTCAAAAACGAAAACAATGTACACAGAAATCTCATCAGTGGTTTCACAGAGAAAGATATTTTAATAATATATTGGTTCACTTCGTGGTTTTTTTAAAACTTATTTCTTTAGTGAAAAGTTAAAGGGTAATTTTGAGGAAATTCATGTAGTTTTAATAGAAGAATTATGTCACTTAAAAATTGTCTTCACAAATATTTTATTCTAGTATTTTCCCCTCCCAATTCTTTCTAGTGGGCTTTCCAAAATGTTCTATTATTAATATCTGTGATTAGCTCATCACTATTCAATTTCTCTGTTCTGTACTCATCCCACTCTCATCTATTGCTTAAATGTTAAATGTAATTCCAATAAATGTAATTTAAAGTCAGATTTTTCTATCAGGTTATCATGAGTAGCATCGGCTCTGTTCCTACTTCTCTATCCTCACTTGACTCCTCAAAGGCTTTAATGCCTTCAGACGTTTCTACAGTAGAGATACCATTGGTATTAATTGTGTGCTCATGCTGCTATTGCTTAGTATGCCAAGTCTAGATCATAAGCATCAACTTTTAAGTTTATATTATAATCCTTGGTACTTCATATATAGTTATGTAGCAATTTATGCAAAAATGAAATATTTTCCTTCTTACTGCATAGAATATAATGGTTGCACCATTTTACATTCCCACCAACAGTTAATAAGGGTTCCAGTTTCTCCACAACCTCGCCAGCATTTGTTGCTTGCTGTTCTGTTAAATTTTGCTATTCTGACTGGGGTGAGACAGTGCAATTGGCACAGGGCAGAGCAGAGTTTAGGGCTGTTGTACATAGGGTTGCTATGAGTCGCAAGAGACTCGATGGCACATAACAACAACAACAACAACTGCATGGTTCAAAATTGGGAAGGGTCTATGCCAGGGATGTGTCCTATCTCCATCCCTTTTCAACCTATATGCAGAACAGATTATCTGGGAGGTGGGGCTCTATGAGGAGAAGTATTGCATCAGGGTTGGTGGAAGATATTCAAATGGCCAATAGACACATGAAGAAGTACTCCAAATCACTGGTAATAAGAGAGATGTGAATCAAAACCACAACGAGATACCTTCTCACTCCAGTAGCAGTTTCAAAGTTTAACAGGACAGCAAGTAATAAAATTTGGACAGGATGTGGCGAGATAGGCTCTCCTATACACTGTTGGTGGGATTGTAAAATAGTATAGCCATTCTGGAAGGCAGTTTGGCCCTTCCTCAGAAAACTAAACAGAAATTCCATAGGACCCACCTATTCCACTACTTGGAATATACCCTGAGCGAATAAGAACTGATACACAAACTGAGACTCAATCAAATGGATTGAGAAATTATGGTACATTCACACACTATGCAGCACACAGGAGCAATGATTTTGTAAATCACTACTTAACTTGGGAGGGAATTAAGAGCATTATGCTAACTGAACTAACTCAATACCATAAGGACAAATACTGTATAAGACCATTATTGTAGAAATAGATAACTAGTAAAATGTATATAAGGATCCAAACAGGGGAGGTAGGAGCAGTGGGGTGAGAATGGGCAGGGGGATAATCATAGGATCGCACAATCTGCTAGGTAGAGTGGGGAGTAAAAGAAATGGGAATGATCTGGTGTGAAAAGCAATCTGTATAAACTTTGTAACTAGTTGTTGTTAAGTGCTTTCAAGTTGATCATGATTCGTAGTGAACCTATGAACAAAAGATCTTAACCTTGTTTGATAACTGTTTTGTTTTTCCAAGTTCGTAGAATTTCCAGAGGCATGTTACTTGGAAGTGGATGCCACTACTGCTTCCATGTCTGTCTTAATCTGGAGTTCCACCAACCACTGTTAACCATGGTACCCATTATGGCATTTGAGACACCAACGGCACAGAATTGAGTATCACAGAAATCCAAGTTTTCTCAGTACAGCAAATTGACTGAGCAGTACAGTACCACTTAGGAGAATGCTCATTACAAGCACAAATTAATACCAGGCCTAACGGCCTGCAGCCCTTGGGCCCTTATGTATTTTAAAAAACTCAGGCCAGCACACCAGGTCTTAAGTGGCTCCAACTAGAGAGAGGCTCCTGGCCCTCAGTAAACCAGTGTAAAAAAAAATATTAGTTTTTAAAAATCCATTGCTAGTTTATTGATTCCAACTCGTAGCAAAGTCCAAGAAACCGAAGCTTTAACCACTGTGCCACAAGGAATTTTAAATAATATATATTTTTTGTTGTTATGTGTCCATTAAGTCACTTGCAACTCTTACTTTCAATGAAAGAGAATTTCTTTCCTTTTAAATAAAATTTTTAACTTATACTGGTTTACTTACAAAGTTTACATATGTTGTTTTTGACACTGGATCTTTCCCATTTCCTTTACAACTCCTCCCTCCACCCATCAAATTGTGCCACCTTATGATTACCCGCCCCCATCCTCATTCTTCTGCTCCCCCCCTCCCCCCCTTGGATCCTCATACTTGTTATACAATAATGGTCTTATATGATATTTGTCCTGATGGGACTGAGTTAGTTCACTCAGCATAATGCTCTCTAGTCCCTCCCAGGGACTAGGTAGTGATTTACAAAATCATTTCTCCTGCGTGCTGCATAGTATTCCATCGTGTGACTGTACTACCATAATTTCTCAATCCATTCAATTGTAGTTGGACATTTATTTAAAAAGAGTATATTTCAAAATAATATTGCTGTTTTAGCTGTCAAATCCTTTAAAAATAAAATACTGAGAAATACAATAGCTAAAAACATTAAAAAAAAAAGAAAGAAAGTGTAACAGAAGTTAGAGAGATGGGTCCTTAACCTGCTGGCCCTCCACTTCACTTTCCAAATACCAGGAGCACGTTTTCTGACCATGGCCCTCAAAGCCAATGATTCCTTTACTTGCTGGTCCTCCTATCATGCTGAACTTTCTGTATTGCAACCAACAGCTCTGCATAGGGATACAACAGTGCTACCGATCATCACATATTTGGAAAGTGCCTTTATGCTTGATATTAGTTAGCATCAATGTCCTACCAGAAAGGTAACCTCAGGATTAAGATGATTTTTTTCAAAAACTTTCTTACAAGACTCCTTTTGTTTTCAAGTGTGGAAAGTGAGAAGCACTCTAACACTATTATTAAAATGGAGAAATCTAATTTTACATCTTTCCTCTAGAGATTCTTCATTCATAAATCCTTACCTTTAAAAGCTACAAAGCCTTGAGTTATGATGAGGTTTTTCTGGGAACTCTAGAGTGTCTAGTGGTAATATAATGTCATTGTACCAATATTTGAACTTTTAATGAGACAAATATGCCTTTCTGTAAGATCAGAAATGTATTTCATTCATGTATTGTGAAATATCCTAACCTTGTGTTTTTATTTCTATATTTACAGGTTACAGACCAACAGGATCAATCCACTTTGTTCCCTTCTTTGTTCCATGTATCACTTTTTCTATAATTACCTTAATCATCATGTTACCTGTTTGTTATTTGAAAAGATGTGGCTGCAGGTATATTGACTGATGAATTTCCTCCTTAATTTTACTGATGCAAAAAAAATATTAGAAATATGGAATTAAAGGTATGGGTAAAATTAAGACGTTAACATCAGGTCTCTCATAATAAATAAAAGTATTCTGAAATTATTAGAGTTGGGTTTTGGATTAAGAGGGATTTTGTAGGATGCTGAGACATATAACATGACCAATTATGCCATACAGGGCAAGACCTTGGAAGAGATGATGGTTATTAATTTTCTATTTGAGAAAAAAATATGACAAGAAATATTCTATGTACTAATGATAATGTATCACATATATTGTATTACACATTTCAAATGCATGATTTTAATACCTTTCTTTTAGGACTTAAATGTATTAACTACAAACAGTATTCTTTACCCATATCCAGTAATTCATTTCTGATTATTATTACTTCAGTCAAAGAAACCCCAAATGTCAATAGGATACTATTTTGTATTCCATTTTCAATGTAAATAATAAATTTTATGCATTTATTTCAGTTTATTTTTGTTTTCTTTTCAGAAAGTGTAAACCAACAAAAACTATTCTAATTTGTGAGGAGGTAAGATTAAACAAATAATTTCAAACTATTAATCCACACATTCCAGAAATCTAGTTCTGTAATTTGAGGTTTGTATTATTATTATTTATATTTTAATTGGAAAGTAAAAGTTCTGATTTTGTAAGACTAATAAGTATATCGCTTTTAAAAATAGCTACCAAGTACTCTTGGGTCGTTTAAAAATCCAAATTTTTGGAGGAAGATGGAGCGTCCAGGTGGCGTCCCCGGCGCAACCGGCGGTAACAGGTCATGAGAGCGGCTGCTCTCTGCGCTGGAAGATCTGGAGGTCTTGTCCAGGGAACTTATAGAAATGCTAGCAATTTCAAGAAATCAAAAATTATTACAGCCTGGAGAGGAAAACCAGATCCTGGAGTTGTTAATTCACAGAGATGGAGAATTGCAAGAACTAATGAAATTAGCACTTAATCAGGGGAAAGTCCATCTTGAAATGCAAGTTTTAGAAAAAGAAGTCGAGAAGAGAGGCAGTGATATTCAGCAATTACAGAAACAGCTCAAGAAGGCAGAACAGATACTGGCAACAGCTATTTATCAAGCAAAAGAAAAGCTCAAATCAATAGAAAAAGCAAGAAAAGGTGCAATATCCTCTGAAAAAATCATTAAGTATGCACATAGGATTAGTGCAAGTAATGCTGTGTGTGCCCCACCGACTTGGGTTCCAGGGGACCCACGGAGACCATACCCAACAGATTTACAGATGAGAAGTGGACTCTTGGGTCAAATGAATAATCCTTCCACTAATGGTGTGAATGGGCACTTACCAGGGGATGCACTGGCTGCAGGCCGATTACCCGATGTCCTTGCTCCGCAGTATCCCTGGCAGTCCAGTGACATGTCAATGAATATGTTGCCACCAAATCACAGTAACAACTTCCTGTTGGAACCTCCTGGACATAACAAGGAAAACGAAGATGATGTAGAGGTTATGTCAACAGATTTCTCAAGCAGTAGCAGTGGCTCTGATTAAAAGCACAGAGCCCTGAATACCGTAGTACTTCCCTACTTAATAGTAGCAGGAAATGTAACTTGTAAACCAGTGATAACAGGATAGATGTTGTTAACTGTTGAATTGTGTGACCTCTTAAAAAATGCTAGAGTACTTACTTTCAAGCCAGAAATCTTTGTTTCTAAATCTACTGGGAAAATATTTAGGAAATAGTTGATATTTATTTTGGTGGTTTTTTGTTTTGTTTTGTTTTTATAATCTTTATTCAGTTGTTTGATACTTTCTTATTCTACCCAGTTGTAGTTCTGGAAATAAGATTTGAAGGAAATGATCCATGTGTATATCAGTTACAGACCTCCTGGAATTAGTAAGAAATGCTTTTTGAAAAAACAGTGGGTCATTGAATACAGATAAAATTTAACAATAACAGAACCATTCACTGAAAGTGAAGGCTATTGGCTGTTGTTTCCAGAACCAGAGATAGTGCCTCAGTTAATACTGTTTATAATTTTATAAATAAACTGACTTGTTTGTATTCAAATACTCCAGTGTAAGTAGTAAATTATTTCTCTAAATCTAGGTAAATTTTATGCACATAAAACTTGTATTCTAGACTGAGAATAAGCAGGATGGAAATCTGAAGTAGTACTTACACTGATAGGTTGCTCAGAGATGGACACTCATTAATAAAATAAAATGAGGTAATCTAAAAAAAATCCACATTTTCAATTCATTAACTATATCCTGTGAAGCATATTATATTTGCCTGGTTTGAACCGTCATCCTCAGAGAAATTAAATTGATGTTTACTTCTCTGTGGAATGACCTCTTATTCCTGATTTCTTTTTCCTGGTGACATTATCATCACCATTCCTTTCTTACCCATGCTTAAGACATGTCTTGCTCCTTAATCTCCTCTAGTCAGTACCTCATTGAATTTTTATCCCTTTGGAATACATCTTGTATCACTTTATGTGCCATACTACTTTAGTACAATTTGTATCATCTCATACTGAGACTCAGGTTTTCAATGAATATATATATTTCTTATAAAATAGCAGAACAAAGTCTTGCTCTTATTGCCCCATAAACTTAGTGGCACAAGTATAGGCATTATTATTACTAGTGCTATTGAATTCACTACTGTATATTGTGACCCTATGTAACTTTGCTCTACTCTGCACCACTGTCATGATACATGCCATGCTCACACCCATTATTACAGCCATTGTGCCAAGTCATCTTATGGAAAAGCTCCTTCTTTAAAGGGCCTTCTTTCTTTTCAAGCTTAATATCTTTTCCCAAGGACTGGTGCCTTCTCACAATATGCTCAAAGTATGTGAAATGAAGTTTCATCATGCTTGTCCCTTATAAGGACCCTAGTTGCTCTACTTGCAAGACAGATCTGTTTGTTCTTTTGGCAATCCATGTTATATTTCCCATTATTTGCCACCCAGATGCTGCCCTGGATGTGCTCACCAAGTTGTGCCAAGAAATCTGGAGGACAACTACCTGACCTACTGAATGGAAGAGATCCATATTTGTTCTCATTCCAAAGAAAGGTGATCAGACAGAGTGTAGAAATTATCAAACAATATCATTGATATCACAAGCAAGCAAGATTCTGCTGAAGATTATACAAAAATGACTGGAACAGCACATCAAGACAGCTTCCTGAAGTGCAGGCTGGATTTATAAGAGGCCGTGGCACTAGGGATATTATAGCTACTGTCAAATGGATCTTGGCTGAAGCAGAAAGTACCAGAGAAAGGTCTATCTGTGTTTCATTGACTATGCAAAGGCATTTGATTGTGTGGATCAAAACAAACTGTAGCTAACTCTGAGAAGAATGGGAATCCCAGAACACTTGATTGTGCTTATGCGAAATTTCTACTTGGACCAGGAGGCAGTCATCAGAATAGAGGAAGGCAATACTGCATGGTTCAAAATTGGGAAGGGTGTGCATCAGGGATGTGTCCTTTCTCCATATCTTTTCAATCTATATGCAGAACAGATTATCCAGGAAGCTGGGCTCTATGAGGAAGGGTGTGGCATCAAGATTGGAGTTAGACTTATCAACAATTTGCGTTATGCAGATGACATAACCCTGCTTGCTGAAACTGAGGAGGATCTGAAGTGCTTGCTTCAGGTCAAAGACTGTAGCCTTCAATATGGATTGAAGCTCAACATCAAGAAAATAGAGTCTCATTGTTGAGCCAATTGGCAGAATCATGACGGATGGTGAAAAGATTGAGATTGCTGACAGCTTGAGTTTGCTTGGCTCTACAGTCTACACTCTTGGTACCAGCAGACAGGAAATTTAAAAGACTAGTTGCATTAGTAAAGTCAGCTGTCAGAGACCTCTCCAAGATACAGAGGAGCAATGATGTCAGTCTAGAGACTAATTTGTGCCTGATAGAGGCCATGGTCTTTGCAATCACTTGCTCTGCATCCGAGAGCTGGACAAGGACTAGGGATGATAGGAGAATTGATGCCTTTGAGCTATGGTGTTGGAGAAGAGTATTGAATATTCCTTGGACCGCTAGGAGAACAAACAAGTTCATCCTGGAGAGGGTGAAGCCAGGCTGCTCCTTGGAGGCAAGGATTCTGAAGCTTCGTCTGACATACTTTGGACATGTTGAAAGGCAGGATCAGTCCTTGGAGTGGGATGCCATGCTTGGGAGGGTGGAGGGACAGCATAGGAGGGGAAGACCCTCGATGATATGGATTGATTCAGTCAGTGGGGTAATGGGGAGTGTGTCGGAGATAAGATTGGCAAGGGATAGAGCAGAGTTTAGGACTGTTGTACATAGGGTCGCTATGAGTTGCAGGCGACTCGACGGCACATAACAACAACATGCATCCTTTTCGTTATTGTTGTGGTGTATCATTGAGTTGGGACTGACCCATAGCTGACTCTCTGGTAGGTTTTCAAATGGAGTTAATCACATGAGAAATTGCTCATCTTTCTCCCATGGAGTAGCTGGTGCATTTGAACCATGTGCCTTTGGGATTGCAGCACAAATTCTTACCAGTTAGTAATTGCTAATTTTAATAACTAATGATTGCTAATGAGAAGTGTTGGTTTTATATACTTTAGGTATATAGTCAAGAGGGCCCAGTCTTTGGAAAAAATATCCTCCTGAAAAGTTAGAGCATCAGAGATAAAAAAAGAAGAGCCTTAGCAAGATAGATTTACAAAGTGACTGTTAGAATGGGCTTGGGTATAATGGAAATCATGAAGATGCCACAGGATATGGCAAGGTTCAGATCTGTTGTTCACAGGGTTTCTATGAGTGGTAGTTGACTTGATGGCACCTAACAACAACAATAAGCAGTATCAGGGAGCTGTGGTGGCCTAGGCTATAGGGAGTCACACTGTTAACCTGAAGGTGGCACTTGGCTGTCAGTTTAAATCCACCAGTGACTCAGAGAGAGAAAGATGAATAATTTCCTTTTATGCAATGTACAGCCTTGAAAACCTGTTGGAGGGTCAGCTATGATTTGGTTCCAACTTCATGTTGTTGTTGTTATGTGCCGTAGCAATGAGATATTCAATGAACTTTGTATAAGCAATATTAGTAGATACCAATGCTGTGGTCACATTCTTTAAAAACAGGTTCTGTGTTAATTTTCTTGTTTCTATGATTTGATTGTGACTTTGAGTTCTTTTTTTTAGGATGAAATGCATCCCTATGCCAGCTATACAGAGAAGAACAATCCAGTCTATGATGATGCACGAAAGATGAAGACATCTAAGATGCTATAAAAAGAAGTGCTGGAATAGGTCTCTTTAACATAAATTTTTGGAATCTAGCACCAAGACAAATAAATCAAAATATATTAGAGCTATTGCACTGATTTTCCAATAATTTTAGATGGAAGGTCCATTTTCAGAGTTTCCAAAGGTTTTGAAAGAGAAAAACATGCTAACAAATGTGCATCCATATCTTTAAACAATAGGAACTTTAGAATATTAATTGCTACCAACTTGTTTTCTGAAGAACTGATATTAATTTTAAAATTTTATTATTATTATTATTATTAACTTTAATGAAAATTTAGAGATTTTGGATTTCCATGCATTCATTGTTTCACTTTTCTCTCTGCCCACTCCTCCCCTCTAGTTTGTTCTGTTATTATTTTTACAGAGAAAGCACAAGTTCATGATAAAATGATAAAGGACAGTTGTTGCTGTTGTTGTTATGTGCCGTCGAGTCGTTTGCGACTCATAGCGACCCTATGTACAACAGCCCTAAACTCTGCTCTATCCTGTGCCAATAGCACTGCCTCTGACACACCCATCCTGATTACCCCAGTCACGGAATCAATCCATCTCATAGAGTGTCTTCCCCTCTTGCGCCGTCCCTCCACCCTCCCGAGCATGATGTCCCTCTAGAATCCTTGCCTGTAACGATGCTGTGAACAGATCAGAACGTCGTCCTATCCTGAACCATCCTCACTGCCTCTGCCATGCTCAAATCCATTCTTACTGTTCAGTCGGAATTCATAGCTGACCCTCTGGCAGGTTTTCAGAGGCAGTTAGTCACATGGGAGGAGACTACTCATCCTTTCTCCCCTTCCGCAGAGCAGCTGGTGCAGTGCAGCTTCTTGCCACTAGGAAAAGTCAAATATCTACGACCTTTACCTTAACCCCCTCCTTTCCTAAACACCATAGTAGTCTGATTCTAAATCTCAGTGTCACACTAGTGAAACAATGTTCTAGAATAAATTTCTATAAGACACTTTTGTGTACTTCCTTTGAATAGAAATTCAATGACCATACTGCTTTTATTTGTAACAGTTCAGGAGGATCTTAGCCATAAAACCTGGAGTTCATAATTTTTTTTTAACTTGTGAGACATGATTTATTTAAACAAGCTCTTTCCTATCAGTCAGAACTGCTTTGAGGTCACCTCAAAAAGTATTTATATTGGGGTTGCATTGAACGTGTAAATTGTGGAGCTAAGAAAAACAATACGCTTCACAATAGCTAATCACAAGATTAAATACTTAGGAGTAAACCTAGCCAGAAGCACAAAGAATCTATTCAAAGAAAATTACAAAACGTTACTAAAAGAAACAAAAAGAGACCTGGAGAAGTGGAAGAATATCCCTTGCTCATAGTGTGTGTGTCTGTGTGATGACTTGTTTTTTATTTGTTTGTTTTGTTTGTTTGTTTTTTTGTAGGGTTTGAAGTTGTCTACTACTTCTGGGACTTTGTGATCATGTTATTGTTGCAGATTTTCTAACGTTCTTTCTTCTGGCCTGTGTGTGGCATCTGAAGGGCTGCCTGTGTAGTTATAGCTGTTTGTTGTCTGTGCAGTGCTATATGTTGGAGGTGTTGGTTGTTGGTGGTTGCAGTTTAACACTTGTCAGGTGGAATATGTGCTGAACTTTGCTATAATGGAATGCAGCAGTGTGCTAGTTTGGCATGGGACCTGCCGTAAGGATGGCATAGGAACAGGCACAGAGATGATGCTAGCAAGTTGTTGCCTTTTCCTGCTATCCCTTGGTGGAGGGGTCTTTGAGTCTATACACTGAATTTCTGAATCCTAGACTTTGTGAATTAGGGGGCTTTCTGGGGTTTAATGTCTGTCTCAATGAATCAATGCATTGCTATGCCTTTAAATTTTGGATCTGTGGCCACAAATGAATAAGTTAGGTATAGGGAAGGATCATGAGATGGTGACTTGATAGCCTACTAGATTAATGCTGGACATGATGTTCATTAGTTGTAGATGTGACCTGGGTTTTTCTCAGGTTTTTCCACAGTCAATTCTGCCAATCACTGTCTGCCAGTGTCCTTCATCTATGGGATCTTAGGTTGAGGACAGTTTGACACTGGTGATATCTGAGGATATGGTTTTTGCATCAAGGGACTACTCTTTCTTTGAGAATAGTTATCCACAGATTTCCACTCAGGCATGCACTGATTTCCTCAGCATCAAATTAAAAGTGGTTTTATTGAACTACTGCTATGGCAGCTTGGGAACCTCAACTCACTACTCAAGGTGGCCTGGGCCTGCTCACTGTGGGGAAAGGGTCATATGCAGGAGCTTACAAAAGTGAATCCATTCAGATGGAATATCCCTTGACTAGTCATCTATGTGCAGTGGGAAATGAGGCCCTGCCTTCTCTATGATGGTTGCTCAAAGTCAGTAAGTCTGGTCCCTTCCTTCTTCTCTCCCCTGTTTTTGGTGTTTGGTTTTTGGGTTTTTTTTGGCTTTTTTTTTTGGTGTGTGTCTTGAGCCCAATTCAGACTTGGAAAAGGATGTGCTTTACTTGGTTCTAAGTAAAAATTTCTCTTTGTTGTTTCTGACTTTGCTCTCAATAATTTCCCCTAATCTTCAGAGTGCTTAAATTATAATGATGAATAGAAATCCCCATTCTTTGATATCCCTATGGGAGAGAGTAAGATCTGCCAGTCTGACCAGTTGCAATACCACCAAAATCCCCTTTTAGCATTTTAAAGCTAGATTTTTTTTTCAGAACTGTTGATAGGTTTGAACTTTTAAACTTTTGATTAACAGCTAAACATCTTACCATTGTGCCTTTATGGAACTTCCTGTTAACATTAGGCTCTCTTTGAATATACCTAAGAGGAAAGAAGTTGGAAATTACAGAAAAACTATCATGTAAATGTGTTATATTAAATAGGAATGGCAACATTTATTTTTACTTGATTTTTAAAAAGAAAAATAATTGAAATAACTATTGGATTAAAATAAAAATTTATCTACTAGGTGTGATACTAATTACTTTTATTTCTTTTTTCCCCTCTCCCCCTATGAATTTTTGTCCTTATTGAAGGATCGATTGGTAAGCATCTTGGACATTCTCCCCAGGGAATGCTCATATGGGTATTCCAGGGATTTTAACATTCTATTTTTTTTCCCATCGTGAGCATACTGTTCTTCCTGCTGGAAGCTTCTTCAGGTTCCCTGAACCTGACCGATATCTCCTTGAAGGAGAGCCTCTTCTTTTCCTTTGGGACATTTTTGCTGTTTATTGCTCATTAGGATTCTCTGGATCTTCTTTGATGAAAGATTCTTGTTTCTTTAAATTCACTAGTAATCATCTCCTTGGAAATAGATTATTTTGGGGGGGGGCATATAGAGAGCAGAGCTGGATGACTCTTCTAATACAGAGCCTCCTGAGACCTTTACTTTTTCCTTCTTTTTGAGTGTCACACCTATTATCTCATATTCCTCCAGAATACTAGAGCTGTTTTCTGAAGACGTAAGTGTCATCACAACTTATCATTTCTTATTCTTCATCAAGTGTCTTTTCTCTTATTTCTCTAGCTTCCTAACAGTCTCTACTGAAGCTTCTTTACAACTATCGACATTTATCAAAGTTCACAGTTTCCAGAGCCATGTTATTTAGGAAGTGGATGCCACTCCTGCTTCCAAACCTGTCATAGTATGCTATTGTTGTTATGTACCCCTGAGTCACCTGCGACCCACAGTGACCCTATTTACCCTCTGAACACTATCCTGTTTTCAGCTTGTCTCACTAATTCTGACACATCAACCCCCAATGCCCCAGTTAACTGTATCAAATTATCTCATAAAGCCCTTCTCCAAGATGACCACCACCTAAACCCTGAATCCTAAGTGAGTTACATTACATGGTGTATTTGACTTTGTAGGAGAGGGATATCATATTTAGAAAGGTGTAGAATTGGTGAAAAAGAGGAAGATCCTTAACCACAGTGTATTGGCACAGTGAGTGCAGCAATGGACTCAAGCATGTCAGAGACTGTGAAGATGGCACAGGATAGGGCATGGCTCAGATCTGTTGTTTATAGGGATGTTATGAGTCGTACTCAACTTGATGGAACCTAATAACAATAGTTGTTGTTGTGTTGTTGTTATATGCTGTCGAGTTGCTCTAAATCCTGCTCTATCCTGTGCTAATCTCACTGACTCCAATACACCCACCCTGATTACTCCAGTCACTGACTCAATCCACCTCATAGAGGGTTTTCCTCTCCTGTGCTGTCCCGTCCACCCTCCCAAGCATGACGTCCTTCTCCAAGGAAAGGTCCCTCCTTGCAACATGTCCAAAGTATGTCAGATGAAGCTTTATAATCCTTGCCTCCAAGGAGCAGCCTGGTTTAACTCTCTCCACAATGAACCTGTTTGTTTTCTTAGCAGTCTATGGTATATTTAATGCTCAGCACCACAGCTCAAAGGCATTGACTCTCTCTCTAGCCTCCCTAGTTGTTGTCCAGCTTTCTGACACATAGCAAGTGATTGCAAAGACCATGACCTGTATCAAGTACACCTTAGTCTCCAAAGTGACACCATTGCTCTTCAATACTTTGGAGAGGTCCCTAACTGCAGATTTTCCCATTGCAATAAGTCTTTTAATTTACTGGCTGCTGGTGCCAAGAGTGTTGACTGTGGAGCCAAGCAAACTAAAGCTGTGAACAGTCTCAATCCTTCACCACCCATCATGATTCTGCCAACTGGCCCAGTGGTGAGAATCTTTGTCTTCTTGATATTGAGCCTCAATCCATATTGAAGACTGCAGTCCTTGACCCTCTGCAGAAAGTGCTTCAGGTCCTCCTCAGTTTCAGCAAGCAGGGTTGTGTCTTTTGCATAACACAATAGTAGAAGTCTTTATATTGGGAATGTATTTGAATGGGCCCAATGTAATCACAGAGTTTCTTGGAAAAGGTAAGTAAGAATGTTACCGTCCTTGGGTGACTTAATGTACCACTGTCTTCAATTCTGTGATTTCTTAACTGCTACTACCATG